TACATTGAATAAAAAATAGAAGTTGAATGAAAAAAAATGTTATTGTTTCCATAGATTTTGCCTATCTTATGTGAATAAGATAGTTTTCTTTTTCTTATTTTCTTTTATTTTGGGTTATAGATTCCACATAAAGATAAACATTTATGAATAACTACATCCTAAGAAGCTGTTCTCTTAAGAACACTCTTGATTAAAGAAATGGCTTTTCTTGGGGATTTTAAATTTTAGTCATGGTTATTTCTTTAAATTTTCAAATATAATTGGTTTAAATTTGAATAATTCTTTCTATGAATCAAAGGAATAATTATATGGAACATTGAATTCTCAAAGCTGTTATTGAAGCATAGTTCTCTCTCTCTGTTTTTTTTTTTTGTTCTGTTCCTCCATCTTTTGATCATAAAATGAGCTCAAAATATATGTTTTGAGTTAGTTTGTTTTCATAATGATCAAATAACACTAGGGTTTCATCATGAAATTACTCATGAACATTGAATATATGAAGCATGGCTATCTGATTTCAACATCGGGAAAGGTACAGTTGCTTTCTTCTCCTTTCTTTTTTTTTTTTTATGTTTGAAAATGGAGGGATTCGAGCGCGAGCAGCGGGGAGGACTTTTTGTCCATCAAACAATGAGCTACATCGCTTGACCCAGCTTTCTTCTGATTGTATAATGGAAAACAAACAACTTAGGTCATTTTCAAGGGGATTGGAAATTATTTGGTGGTGGGACATATTTAATGCTGTTGGGTATTTAGCGATGCAGCAAGAAAGAAATGGTAGTATGATTTCAATGACGAAAGGTTTGCATAGAAATTATGTTTGTAGCGTAAAAATGAAGGGAAGAATTGCATATTTCCATTTAGAAATCTAAATATTTAAAAATAAGAATTTACTCTAAAAGTTTTAAATACAGAGTTTTTTTTTTTAAAGTTGATTTAGCTATTTATAGAAGTAATTGTATGACTGTTACCAGAGAATTATTTTTTTAAAAAACCAACAAATATATTTACTAAAAAATGGAAGCATAAAAATACATGATTTTCTTATGCACTTTTCTATTAGTTATGTATTGATTTTGCGTTGAAATTTTTAATTAACAATACTTTAATGAATTGTAATGCTCAAAAAAATTTTTTTTTTTAAGAACACAGTTTTTAACCTAAAAAATTCTCAAATGAAAAGTAATGCAAATACCAATCAATCAACTAATAAGTAACACAACAAAATTAATGCCAATACTACTGGCCACCACCCACGACCATCGCCGACTGTTGCCGACAATAAAGGCGCCCCCTCCCCATGCTGCCGCAATTGCTGTCATAGATAGTTGTGGCTGGCCATTGATATATGCTAGAAATCAACCATCATTGTCGTTTTCCATTGCTACCTTTATTTCCAGCTAATCACCGCCACTGCCTTTGTTGGTTTTTACCCTGCATTCAATTTACTCCAAGAAGGTTTGGGCTGGGCGCTCTTCTGTCGGCGTTCTTCCTATCATTCTAAAGCTCCTGCGCCATCCTTCTGGTGATATTCTTCCCTGTTTCTCCTGCAAGTGTTTATTTCCTTCAAATCACCTTTTTTGTTTCTCGTAATCTGTTGTGTTCTCCTTGGAAGCTTGTGGCTTCTTATTTTCGGACTGCTTTTCTTCTGATTTGTTTGTATTTCTCGTGGTTTCTCTGATCTCTGTTTGGTTGTCCTTCGCTTTTTGTTTGTTTGTTTGTTTTTTTTTTTTTTTTTTTTTTTTTTTTTTTTTTTTTTTTTGGGGGGGGGGGGACGACGGCCCGTCGTCATCTATCCCTTCGGTTGCTTCGATCCCGAATGGAGAATCTTGATCTTTTAAAGAGGCTCTTGCTGGATCCGGTGGTTCTTGCTCTAACCTGAAATTTGTTCATTCATCTTTCAAAGGCTGTCCTGCACTTATGTTGGAAGACTCGGGTGTTGCTCAACTTGCAGCTCCCTTTGCTCTTACCCTTGTGGGTAAGTCTGTTTTGAAGCGACCTAATATTGATGTTATCCGAATTTTTTTTATAATCTTAAGCTTTCTGGATCCTTTCATGTGGATTTACTCGATCTCAGGCATGTGGCTATTCAATTGAGTAATGATTTGGATTATAGCCTGATCTTTTCTAGGCGTTCTTATTATATTCAATCGTGCCAAATGCGACTTCTTAAATGGACTCCTGATTTTGATGTCCATCATGAATCTCCGATTGTTCCTATTTGGGTGTCTTTTCCTAATCTCAGGATGCACTTTTTCAATTCTCAAATACTTTTTGGCCTGGCATCTATCCTTGGCCGACCTTTGCAAACGGACCAAGCTACGGGTTCGGTTCCTCGTCCCTCGGTGGCTAGGGTTTTGGTGGAGGTTGATATTTCTAAAAAGTATCCTAATGAGATTTGGCTAGGGTCTGAAGTCAATGGCTATTTTCAAAATGTTGAATTTGAAAATTTTCCCATTTTTTGTTCCCATTGCAAGATGCACGGTCACAGTCTCATTGAATGCATTAAACTGCATCCACACCTTAAGAAAGATAAAAAAAGTGTTAGGCTTACTAAATTGCAGGGGGGAAACAAAAAAACTGATGGTAATGATAATTTGGTGGTAGGTATTGATAAGTCCTCTACAGCTCAGGACGTGGCGGATGAGCCTGTTTTCCAGGTTGTTCCTTCGTCTTTTGGTAATGAACCTAATGTTGATGTGGGAGAAGGAAAAAATTCTCTTAATGAAGTCATTAAAGTGGCTGACCATTCATCCTCTTGTATTGTTTATGAATCCTTACAAAATGTTACTCAAGTTGTGGTGGTGGAGGATAATAATATTATTGATGTTAATACTAACAATATTATTGAGAATGATCAGGTTATTTCTGCTCAAGGGGAGGTGTTGGCTTTGTTGGTTAACTCTCCTATAGCTCATAATGTTACTGAAACTAACTTGGCTCATGAAAATGTTGAAAATATGTTGGAGGAGGAGGTGGTGCCTTCTTAGGTTAATCAATCCTTGGCCATAACTGAAAAAGGGATCTCAATGTTCGAGGAGGAGGCGGTGCCTCCTCAGGGCAAGGCACTTCCCGAGAAAGGTAACTGCTCTTTTTAAGGTAATGAGAGGTTTTTAACTTCTTTAGAAGATGGAGTTTTCTTTGTTGAAAATGAGAGGCCTTTTCCTAAGGGACCTTTCGGTAACTTAAATGATAAAACTATTCTGTTATCTGATTTTTATCACGGTGATGCTTATACCGATACGGAAATAGACATTTTGGCTAAATGTTATGCTAGAGAAGATAATAACCTTAGTTTTTCTAAGGGTCGTGCTAAACTTGGTAGGAAACCCAGAGGTGTTATTTTACAATCCCCTAGCAGTACCTGATCGCATACTTCTCATTAATTATTTTTTATGTTTAATGTCATTATTTGGAATGTTCGAGGTATTGGTTTCCCCTCTTCTAAACTTAGGGTTAAAAACTTATGTCGTATTCATAACATTGCTACTCTTGTTTTACTTGAACCTCTTATTTTTGTGGATAAATTATCTAGAATTGTTAGGTCTTTGGGTTTTAATAATGCTAAGTCTAGTATTGCAAGTAAAATTTGGATTTTTTGGAAAGATTTTGTTATAATTGATTTTATTGGTGATTATACTCAAGTTTTACATTGTAATATTGAAAGTTCTAATGTGCAATGTTGTGCATCCTTTGTTTATGCTTCTTCCTCTCGCTATAATAGAAGGGCTTTGTGGGAGCAAATCGTGCATTTTAACAATATTTGTAATCTTCTTTTGCTTGTTGGGGGTGACTTCAATACGATTACTAATACTGATGAACGTTTAGGGGGGGGGTTTTGGGGGGGGCGGGGGGGGGGGGGGGGGGGGGGTCTATTCCTATATATCAATCTATGGAGGAATTTAATGATATGATTATGGCTTGTAGTCTCATTTACATTGGGTTCTTTGGTAACACGTTTATGAGGCATCGTGGGCATTTCTAGCAGAGATTGGATAGGGTTTTGTTTAATAACTCCTGGTTGAGCACTTTTAATTTGACCAAGGTTGAACATCTTAGTCATACTCTTTCGGATCATTCCCCTTTGCTTATTAACATTAAGAACAATCCAAAGAGTTTGCCATCTCAACTTAGATTTCAGAATATGTGGCTTCATCATGTTTCTTTTCTGAAGGTTGTTCAGGTGAATTGGGATGCTCATGTTTATCCTAATAATTCTATTTCTAACATGAAAAGATTATGGCTTAAGTTGAAAAGACTTAAGATGGTTTTGAATTAGTGGAACCATAATGTTTTTAAAGATTTGTTTAACAATATTTTACTTGCTGAAAATAAAATCAACTCCTTTGAGGATATTTGTCAGTCGGATTCCTCTGAGGCTAATCTGTGTTTTCTTAATGAAGCTAAAATGGAGATGTATAAGCTTTAGGTTCAAGAAGAAACTTTTTGGAAGCAAAAAGTGGCTACCAAGTATTTAGTGGAAGGTGACAATAATACTAAATATTTCCATGCTTTGGTTAATAAGAAACGTTCTATTAACAATATTCATAAAATTTCTCGTGAGGATGGCTCTACTACTGAGGATAGAGATGAGATTGCTAGCTTGGCTGTTGATTTTTTTCATAAGCACCTTAATAAGTCTTTTATTCCTGATTCTAGTGTTGACACTTCTCTTATTCTGAATGTTATATCTCAAGAGGAGAATGACTCCCTTACTAAGTCTCCTCTTCCTGAAGAGATTAAAGATATCTTATTTAACATGAATACTGATTCTATTGCTGGGCTGGATGATTTTACCTCTAAGTTTTTCCAAAAAACTTGGTCTATTATTTCTAATGATTTCTGCTCTGATGTCATGAATTTTTTTAATGGATCTCCTATTTCGAAGTTTTTTACGTCTACTTCTATTGTTTTAATTGTTAAGAACTCTGCTATTAACTCGTGGAGTGATTTTAGACCCATTAGTTTGTGTACTATTTTTTATAAACTTATATTGAAAATTCTAACTAGCAGGTTATCTATTTTTCGGCCTAAGATTATATCTCCTTATCAAAAGGGCTTTGTTAAAGGTCATGCCATTGTTGACAATATCCTTTTAGCTCAGGAATTATGTGAATATTTGGATATTAAGGTGAGAGGTGGTAACATGATCATGAAATTGGATATTGCTAAGGCCTATGATAATATTAATTGGAGTTTTATTTATAAGATGTTGAGTCTTTTTGGTTTTGATTTGAATTTCATTAATCTCATAAAAGCTTGTATTGAAATTCCTTTTTTCTCTATTATTGTGAATGGTAAAACTCATGGTTATTTTCAAGCTTCTCATGGGCTGAGGCAAGGGGATCCTTTGTCTCCGACTATTTTCATTATTGCTGCTGATTATCTTTCGAGGGGTTTGGGTAATCTTTTCTTTAATTGTCGTAGTCTTTATTTCAAAACTTTAGGTGGCTTTCATATCTCCAATTTATGTTTTACTGATGACTTTATTATTTCTACTAACGCTTCTAAGAATAGGATTAGTAAAATTTTAAGATTTTTTGGGCACTTTGAAGCTGTGAGTGGTTTGCCTTTTAACAAGCAAAAATATTGTTTTATTGCTTCTAAGAATGTTGGGCCTGATCGAATTTTGGATATTAGGAATCTTACTGGTTTTTCTCAAGGTGCTTTACCTCTGAAATATTTGGGTATTCCTCTTTTTAAGGGTATAAAGAGAGCTTTGCTTTTGATGATTTAATTTCTTTGGTTCAGAATAGATTGTTTTCTTGTAACTCTAATTTTCTATGTTTTGGTGGCCATCTCACTCTTATTAAAAGTGTATTATGTTCTATTCTAGTTTATAGTTTTCAAACTCTCCTTCCTACTAAGGGTGTTTGTCTTAGAATTGAGAGAATTTTGAATATTTTTTTTTGGAAAGGTTCTGCTATTAATTCTAAGATTCATTGGAAGAATTGGGTTGGGTGCCGTGTTACGAAGCAAGAAGGGGGTTTAGGGTGTAAAGACATGAGTGATTTGGCTTGGGATTTCTCTTTGAAGTTGTGGTTTAATTTTAGGTCTAATGTCAGTCTGTGGGCCAATTTTATGAGGGACAAATATTGTGGTGTGAAACATCCGTCCTTGTGTTATTTTTCTAAAGGTCACTCTAAAGTTTGGCATCAGATTTGTTCTATTAAATGGAAAATGGAGCCTTTGTTAGTTTGGGGCCTTGGTAATGGGAACATTTTCTTTTGGCAAGATAGGTAGATCAATGCTGATTCTATTGATTCTTTACCTAACACTGTCTCTATCTCTAAGAGGAAGGTTAATTATTATTTTTTGTCTAACGGGTGGGATTTGGAGAAGCTATCTGCTTTACTTCTGGATAGTATTATCCAACTTATTCTTAAGATCCCTATTAATGGCAATATTAAGGATGTGTTACTCTTCTCGGTTCTAAAGATGGTTGTTTCATTATTAAGTGTGCTTGGCATTCTTTTAGAATTAAAAAGGATACTTCTAAATTTTTTAAAATGATTTGGCATAACACTATCCCCTCTACTGTTTCTATTTTTTTATGGAGAATTTTTCATAGCTTCATTCCTACTAATGAAAATTTGAGGAAGAGAGCTTTCCCTATTACCACTAAGTGCCATGCTGTTTCCATGATGACAATATGCATCACGATTTTATATCTGGTCCTATTGCAGTTAAGGTTTGGATTTTTTATGAGGATTTATTTCATCTTAATTTATATAACGCTTCTTTTTCTATATCTCATTTGCTTGACCTTTGGTTTGTGGAGTCCAAAGGCCATATTAGAAATGTGATTTCATCTCTTATTTGTTGGTTTCTTTGGTTGGAAACAAATGATTCTCATTTTAATGGGTTACTATGAATCATCAGAGAATTATTCACAAAATTAAAGATAAGGTCATTGCTCTTTTTTTTGCTTATTTGCTTTCAATAAAAAATTTTAAAAACTGTTTTTACACCCTTTCCTTTTTTTGATATTAATGGGGAGTTGGACAAGGGTCTTATTAGACCTAATTGCATGAATTGGCGTAAGCCTAATCTTAATTATTTCAAGTTGAACGTGGCTTGGGTTAAATTTCGTAGTAATTATGGTTATGCTAGTATCATAAAAAATCATCTTGGTTTTTACATTTCTGGCTTTGCCGGGCCTGCTATTGTTGAGGATAGTCACATGGCTTTTTTTTATGGGTGTTCTGTATGGGCTAAAGCTTTGCAATAAATTCTGTATCCAGAACATTATCTTAGAGGCTGCTTCGTGTTTTGATAGCATGGTTAGTCTTGATAGTGATGATAGTAGGTGTGTCCCGGATCTGTTTTACATCAAAAGAAATATTAAAGATGACTTGAAGTCTTTTTCTTATTCATATTCTATTATTAAGGAGGAAGGGAATGTTGTTGCGCAAGCCTTAGACATTTTGGGTACTGTTTTTAAGGATTATAAGGAGCTTTTCTGGATCAGGTGCTTGCCTATGTTCAAGGCTAAGTCAAATTAGATCAAATTGGTTTTTCTTATGTTTGTAATTAATTCTCGGTTGCTTTGGTGGTGATTTTGTTTTGATCTGGGTTCTCTGTCCCTCCTTTTCGGTGAGGTGTGTTGCTGGGTTCCTGTGTACTGTTTCATGGTTTTGTTGGTTAATCCTAAATGTGGTGGTCTCAGGTCTAATATTATTTTCTTTGTGATTTGTCTGTGTTGGGCTATTCTTACTGTTGTATTGTGTTGGTTGCTGTTGTTATTGGTGCATTGTAGTCCTGATTCTGGGGAGGCTAGTATGTTTTTTATGTTATGTGGATGGTTGTTAGTTCGGTTATGGTGTTGTGTTGTTGGCTGGGTGGGTGGGGAGGATTTTCTTGGGGAATTTGGGGGTGTGGAGGAGTTGGCTTTCTTTGGTGTATTATATGAGGGTGTGGAAATGGCTGGCTGTGGTTAACTTGTGGAATTTGATGGCCCTCTGGACTTGCTTTTTCCTTCTCTCATCTG